CGTTAGAATCTGGATGGAACAAAATGGAACGAGAAGAAACTGTGGTTCTTAGGTAGAAAAGAAAAGCAAATGCCACACGAGCCACACCTGATGGGACACCTTACCCAGGCATTTTCTGGAAGGGGTGACGGTGACAGGCCACAGGATCTGAATTCCAGTCCCCAAGTGACCTAGGACTGCGTGAGCACCACAAACGGGTTAGGCAAGATGACGGAATTCCAGCTTAGAATGAAGTCCATACAGTTCACCGAAAGGATGACTTAATCATTCCTATGCCTCCAACAAATCACAAAGAATACAGAGTGTGGTTACGTTCTAACCAGGGAACTTGAGACATCCATTGCTGGGAGGAGCCAAGGGAATGTCTGTGTCATGGGCCAGCTGGCAGTCTCTTCTTTGTCCAGGTGCTCTGCCATCTGCTGATCCTCTTTTGCTTCCACACGGTTCCACGTCCCAGCCAGGTTGGGCTGAGAAGGGCTCTCCGGGAGTTAGAACTGCCAAAGCTCTGCGGAGTTCCAAGCCTCCCTATAAGTTCACGCTTTGGGGGCAGAACGTTCAGCAAATCTGCCCCTGTCCTCAGGCTGCCCTTCTTTCTCCTTTGCTTCTGTGCAGGTCAGATTTGGGCCCTTGGAAGGTTTCCATCCTTCCCTGTGAATGCACTTAAATGTCTTTGGTAGTTTTTCTGGCCCCCAAGCAATGGCTTGTTTATGTCTTTGTACCACTGCTCAGTTCTACACACTCCCTGCTCATAAATGAGCTCTCTGCACTTCGATGATCTCTGGCTTTTGGCAGGAAGAGAATACCTGTCTCCACCATCCAGACATCCCTGGCTTCTACCAAGGCCCCTGTCTGCTTTGGCGTCTGGGGGCCTTTGGGTCCAACTATGGTGCATGGACTCCAGCAAGATGATCGTGGGATAGAAAGAAATCTGGCTTCTTGTAACTATTGGCAGTAGCCACCATTAATTGAGCACATACTATGTTCTAAGCGTTATGCTAAGAGCTTGGCATATATTGTCTCTAGTCCTTCCAACAAACCTGGGAGATAAGAGTCATTATCCTTATTTTACACATGGGGACACTTGGGCTGAGCGAAGCTACCTAAGTCGCCCTGGATCAAATAAGTGATGAGCAGAAGTGGCACTCTAGCACGAAAGCAGTTTAGGCCGTCATTCTTTAAGGCAGTGGTCCCTGACCCTTTTGGCACCAGTGACCGGTTTCATGGGAGACAGTTTTTCCATGGACAGGGGAGACAGAGTTCAGGCAGTGACACGAGCGAAAAGGAGTGGCTGTAAATACAGACGAAGCTTTGCCCGCCACTCACGTCCTGCCGGGTGGCCCAGTTTCTAAGTTTCATGGAAGACGGTTTTTCCATGAATGGTAGGGTGGGGAGCCGGAGTTCAGGCGGCCTCGTTCCTAACAGGCCACAGACCGGTACTGGCCCACAGCTGGGGGATTGGGGACTGCGGCTTTAAAGGATTTCTTAGGCCGGGCGAGGTGGCTCACGCCTGTAATCCTAGCACTCTGGGGCCAAGGAGGGAGGATCGCTCGGGGTCAGGAGTTTGAGACCAGCCTGAGCACCCCATCTCTACTAAAAATAGAAAAAAATTAGCTGGACAACTAAAAATATATAGAAAAAATTAGCAGGGCATGGTGGCAAATGCCTATAGTCCCAGCTACACGGGAGGCTGAGGCAGGAGGATCGCTTGAGCCCAGGAGTTGGAGGTTGCTGTGAGCCAGGCTGACGCCACGGCACTCTAGCCTGGGCAACAGAGTGAGACTGTCCAAAAAAAAAAAAAAAAGGATTTCTTGGATCAGCAGCCATGGTGGTAGCACTTTTCTGCTTCTTCCCTGTTAACTGGGTCTTGGTTTTTGTTCAGACATCAGAGCAACTTGTCTGGGGAAGGTGGATCCTTCCCTCGGGCCTAGGAGATGAATCATGATTAGCCTACCGTGTTTCCCCAAAAATAAGACAGGGTCTTATATTTATTTTTCCTCAAGAAGACACCCTAGGGCTTATTTTCAGGGGATGTGTTTTTTTCCCCTCAAAGCCTCAGCTTGTAGCACGCACAGGGTGCCCAGGACCTGACAGGGGGAGCCGACCTTGTGGGTGGGGCTGCCCACACCTTTCCGGTCACCTCTGGGATAGTAGCTGTCACCATGGGGCAGATGAGAAGGACTGCTCATCTTCTTTACCAATCCACAACGAAATGCATGGGTTGTGCAGATGCGCTGCGAAGCCACGCCCTTCACTAGGGCTGATTTCATAGCCATGCCACCACCAGGGCTGATTTTCATAGCCACGCCACCACAGGGCTGATTTCATAGCCACGCCCATCCACAGGGCTGATTTTCATAGCCAGCCCATCATAGGCTGATTTTCGGGTAGGGCTTCTATTGTGCGAATGCTTAGAAATCCTGCTGGGGCTTATTTTATGGGTAGGGCTTATTTTCGGGGAAATACGGTAGTTCCTTTCCTCTTTGCAAGTGATGGATTTGGCCGATGCACTTGCCAGTGCTCAGCAAGGGGACATAAATGCAAGTCTGCTTATGGCTTCTGGAAAGATTTTTCTCTCTAACAAACAAAAAGAGAGATACTCAGGAGAAAGTTACGCCCCTTCCTACCTGTGCTTGGATGTTTAGAGATGTAAGGCAGGGATGGAGCCGCTGCAGCCATCTCACCACTGCAAGTGACAATGCCGTCATACTGAGGGCTACACAATGAAAGACAGAAAAAGCCAGCGTTCTTGGTGACATCACTGCACCACTGAACAACCGGAAACCATACACCTGCAGAGTTCCTAAGTGATGTAAAAAATTGCTTCATAGTTTCAGCCACTTTTAGTTTCATCTCCATGATGTAGTGGATAAAGAGAAAGAGCTGGAAGCTGACACAGGAAGCAAGAGCAAAAGAAATGCGTCGGAACTAAAGCAAGATGAGACTCTGTTGATGTCGAGCGACCTCTGTCTGTTGGCTTACACAGCCTCCAAATGAATTTAGAAATTGACCACTGGGAGGCGAGGCGGCGGAATTGCTCGAGGTCAGGAGTTCGAAACCAGCCTGAGCAAGAGCGAGACCCCGTCTCTATAGAAATAGAAATAAATTAATCGGCCAACTAATATATATTATATAGAGAAAAAATTAGCGGGCATGGTGGCGCATGCCTGTAGTCTCAGCTACATGGGAGGCTGAGCAGGAGGATCGCTTGAGGCCAGGAGTTGGAGGTTGCTGTGAGCTAGGCTGACACCACGGCATCTCTAGCCTGGACAACACAGTGAGACTCTGTCTCAAAAAAAAAAAAAAGAAATTGAGCAAACAGCACACCTGTTGAGCCCCTCCTATGTGTCAGGCACTTGTGAGGGTGCTGGCGTTACAAGAATAGACAAGGCAGGCGAGTTCATTGTGGTCATGGACATCACATTCCAGAAGACGGCGCCCAGTAAGCAAATGAGGACATATGAAAACACTCTTAGGCAACTTTTCCATGTATTGGTTCAAATCAGCCCTGAGTGCAAACCCAGACTCCGGGGTCAGATGGAACTGGATTCAGATTATACCTTGGAAGTTATTTAATTTTTCTGAGCCTCACTTTCCTCATCTGTAAACAAACAACAACAACAATAATAATAATAATAACTAACTCATGACCGGGCGCGGTGGCTCACGCCTGTAATCCTAGCTCTCTGGGAGGCCGAGCGGGTGGATTGCTGGAGGTCAGGAGTTTTGAAACCAGTCTGAGCAGAGCGAGATCCGTCTCTACTAAAATAGAAAGAATTAATTGGCCAACTAATACATATAGAAAAAATTAGCCGGGCAGTGGCACATGCCTGTAGTCCAGCTACTCGGGAGGCTGAGGCAGGAGGATCGCTTGAGCCCAGGAGTTGGAGGTTGCTGTGAGCTAGGCTGACGCCACGGTACTCACTCTAGCCTGGGCAACAAAGTGTGACTCTGTCTCAAAAAAAAAACAACAAAAAAACAAAAAAAACTAACTCATAAGGTTGTTGTGAAGCTTAAATAAGCAAACGGACTCTCTGCACGGTTTTCTCCAGAGCCTGGCGCAGAGCCTGTCTCTCTGGATTCTGGATGTTCGCCATTGTCATTGTCATTGTCGCAGCAATTTGTGCCAGGCGCTGTGGGTGTCGAAAGATGAGCAAGACGAAGTTCCCGCATTCAAGAAATCTGGGAGGCGAGGATCCAGATTTGGCCGTAGAACAGTCAGAAGTTAGGCAATGAATTAGGAAGGAGATAAAAGAATTCCTCCGGTAACCAGGGTTGGGTTAACCCGGGTCCCCCGTCTCTGCTTTCTCCCACGCATGTTTTATAGCCGTCACCCCTTCTGCAAGAGGGAGAGAAATATCCTGAAGGATTGCTGCTCTTTGTTCCCAAGAGAACCAAGTGAGCTTTTGCTTTCTCCAGTGAAGTGGAGACTCCAGGGTGTGCATATTTGGGTGGCGTTTTCCAGCTTGGGGTCCACACCGATGCCCCCACGAGCAATGTCACCAAACCCTGTCTCCCTTCCTTCACCTGCTCAAAATCCACACTCACTGGATGCGTTCAGCGTGCAGCCACAGACTATTGACTGCCGGATCCAGCGACTCAAATCAAGATAAACATCGGCCAGCCGGGTCCTCACACCCACACGCGTCCCCTCGCCTTTGGGGACATTTCCAGCGACGGTCACACGGGCCACTGAAGTCCCTCTCACACTGGGCGTGCATCTTCCCACGGGCTTGCTCACTCACACACACTGGCTTTTTATTTGTGCTCCCATGGGGGATCTTTTGAGTCTTAGATAGGAATGTCATGAACAAAGGGGAGGGGAGCGGAGGGCAAGAGGAAAGCAGAGATGTGGGGACTTGGGGGGTGGGGGAAGCAACAAAAATACTTTTTTTGAAGGAGACCTAAAATTGTATCATCCTGGCCGGAATCTCCTCCATGAACTGTTCTTTATGTGTTCATTCTGTGCCCGAAAGAAAACAACTTTTCATTCATCGGGCGATCGTCCAGGCTCCTGGCTTGGCCCGGGCCCAGCAGAGCTGTGCGATCCGGCGGCCCAGACCTGGGCTTTCAAATGAGGGGACATCCAACTGGAAGCCGGGTCATCGCGAAATGAGGAAGTCGCCCAAAGGGTGCAGGGGTCCCCTTTCTCTTCCCTTTCTTCTCCCAGCCACATCTCAACCGGCCAGTCTTGGAGGAGAGTCTCAGGTGGCTAAGGAAGAGGACAAGGGACACGAAGGGAGTGACAAGAAAGTTCCAGGAGACTCTCAGGCGGCCCCCGCCTGGGGATCAAACCTGAATAACGTGGAGCCTTGTAACCTCGGAGGATTTCTCGGCTGCTGCGGTTCCCCTGCCCACGCTGCAGGTTTTTCAGGTCCTTGCTTGAGCGAGCACTCCCAGGCGTAAATAAACGTGCTATCAGCAGGCTGCGTCAGCCTATTTAAGCAGGCTGGCCTCGGCAATCGCAGCGTCCAAACCCACGGCTCGCCTGTGCCACTTGCACGTAAGTAACCCTCAAAGGTTTGCCTTTACTGCAGAGGGACGAACTTGTATAGAAACGAGATCAAAATGCTGTCGTTGCTTATATTTGCTCTTCTGCTGGGAAACAGGAGAGAATAAAAAAAAATTGTAAGAAGCTAGCTGCCAAGCAGGGAGCCAGAAAGTGCTGGGTGGTATAAGATCATCAGACCCTTGCAAAACACGCATGCATGGGGCTGAGGTGAATCTTGAGCAAGGAGGAGTCCAGGTTGGTTTTTTTTGGCCACAGTTTGCATGTTTTTCTTGATCTCTCCTATTTCTGAAAGACACGTTCAAACCAGCACTTGTGCCAGATGACTATGACTGTATCATTTAGAAGCCGATTATCGCATTTCTACATCCCAGGCTTTTTAGCTAAATTCAGACATACTATTTTTTTAAAATATGCTTTGTGTTGGAGGTAAGGGAGGAGGGAGGCATCTCTGGATTGAGTAGAAGTAGCTCGATTGTGAAGTTGCGGTGTTATTTCTTGTTTCATCCTGTTCTCATGATATTTATTTATAACAATGAAGACATGGATCTTGTTTAGATGAAAAGGAATCCCAAGCTCTGGGGTTTTAAGGAAATGCAGGTTTGTGATAGTTGAGCACAATGGTACCCAAGTATTCAAGTTAAATTAAAGTGGAATAAGAGTCATTGGATAAAAAAGTGCAGCATACCACATATCATAGCTTAGACGAGAAGGTCTTTAAGAGACGACGAATGCAAGAAGTTCCCATGGAGTGGCACTGCCACCGACAGGGCCCGGCAGTGTGTTTAGTCCAACAGGGTTAAGTGTCACCGGGGCAGGCAGAGAACAAGACAAAGGTACTGGGGGTGGGGGTTGGCGGGAGGGAGGAGAAGGGAGGAGCAGAGAGTAGAGAAATAATAATTATGCATCATATTCCCAAAATGTATATTGGATATTGTAAGGAATAGAGCATGCCATTAATTGCATAGTTCACCCTTTTGGTCAAGAATCTACTAGAAGCCAAGGACCTTTGCCAGGTGTTCCACCCACCACCTGGACCCCCACCACCACCCTTAATACACCTTGATCCTCATTTTCTGGTCTCTGGAAATCCACAGACCCTAACTTCAGCTCATGCATTATTATTATTATTATTTTTTGAGACAGAGTCTCACTTTGTTGCCCAGGCTAGAGTGAGTGCCGTGGCGTCAGCCTAGCTCACAGCAACCTCAGACTCCCACCATGCATTATTTTTTAACTGGGCTGAAGCTCCTACCTGGGGAACATCCAGGGAAGTGGTGAGGAGTTAGAAGCCCTCACAGGGCGGGGACTTTCTGGCCACCACGCTGAAGCTCAGTTATAAGTTCGTAAAGTTCTTATTTCAAAATCAAGCAAATAAGGATTAAGGGGTTTCTCTGAGCAAACGTAAGTTGACAGCTGGGAGGAACAGAAAAGAAATAAAAGGTAGACCCTTTTCTCAAAGAGCTTGAAATCTAAAGCCCAGGGACATAACTAATAAGGAACCAGACCACAAAATAGAACATATTGAATGATTCTGTTTGCATAAAATGATACAAAATGCAAACTGATTGGCAATAAAAGAAGGTAGATCAGTGGTTGCTTAGGGAAGGAGTACAGGGGAGCAGAGTTTTGGGGTCATTTCTCAAGGGGTCCGGGACCTTTTAAGAGTGATATGTTCATTATTATGACTGTGCTGACCATTTCTCATATGTGAAAATGTATCAGATCGTGCACTTTAAGCATGCAGTATTATATGACAATGATACACCGACAAATAATACTTTAACCATATAATTATTTTTTTATAATTAAAAGCATTTCTAAAAACCAGCCTATGGCCGGGCGTGGTGGCTCACGCCTGTAATCCTAGCACTTTGGGAGGCCGAGGCGGGCGGATTGCTCAAGGTCAGGAGTTCGAAACCAGCCTGAGCGAGAGCGAGACCCCATCTCTACTAAAAATAGAAAGAAATTAATTGGCCAACTACAAATACATAGAAAAAATTAGCCGGGCATGGTGGTGCATGCCTGTAGTCCCAGCTACTCGGGAGGCTGAGGCAGGAGGATGGCTTGAGCCCAGGAGTTGGAGGTTGCTATGAGCTAGGCTGATGCCACGGCACTCACTCTAGCCTGGGCAACAAAGCGAGACTCTGTCTCAAAAAAAAAAGATGAGTATTTTTGGGAAAATAATTAAATTCAATAAATAATATACAGGGACTAGACAGGATCATAGATTTTTTTTTTTTTCATTGAGACAGAGTCTCACTCTGTTGCCTGGGCTAGGCTGACGCTGCGTTAGCCTAGCTCACAGCAACCTCAAACTCCTGCGCTCAAGCGATCCTCCTGCCTCAGCCTCCCGAGTAGCTGGGATCCGCCTGCCTCAGCCTCAGGATCATAGACTTTTATAGAACTGGGAAGGCCTCCAGAGATCATCTAACCTCATGGTTGTGGGACCTGGAGAACTTTTAAAAAAAACTATCAGCTGGCCGGGCGCGGTGGCTCACGCCTGTAATCCTAGCACTCTGGGAGGCCGAGGTGGAAGGATTGCTCAAGGTCAGGAGTTCGAAACCACCCTGAGCAAGAGCGAGACCCCATCTCTACTATAAATAGAAAGAAATTAATTGGCCAACTAAAAATACATAGAAAAAATTAGCCGGGCATGGTGGTGCATGCCTGTAGTCTCAGCTACTCGGGAGGCTGAGGCAGGAGGATTGCTTGAGCCCAGGAGTTGGGAGTTGCTGTGAGCTAGGCTGACGCCACGGCACTCCTGCTAGCTGGCCAATCAACAGCAAGACTCTGGTTCCCCAGCCCCACCCCCCCCAAAAACAAAACCTATGCAGTGATTGCCCACCCAGGCCAATTGAATAAGAATTCCAGAGTGTGAGCCCTGGCATTGGTTTTAAACTCCCCAGGTGGACTCTAACATGTAGCTAGGGATAAGAACTAGTGAAACCACAAATACTTTGCTTGCACAGATGAGGACAGAGAAGCCCACGAGAGAGGGTGGCATGGCCCCTGGCCACCCAGCCACCAAGTAAGTCCCAGCAGGGTGAGGCTGGGAGGCCCAGGCAGGCAGCTGCATGGAGCTCAGAGGAGGCAGGAAGAGGCTGCTTCGCTGGTCCTCAAATCCACACTTCAACTCTAGCAGGGACAGGGTGCCCCGCGCCTTGCAAGCACATTCTTAGATCCAGACATGCTTGGAGACAGCAAGCTGGAAAAATGAGTCAGGGCCTCAAAGGCGCATGATTTCATGGCCTGTGCTAATCGATGAGAAGGATGTTTCAGAACTCAAGCTCCTTCCTTCCCTAACCCGAATGTCTGGCATAAGCAAGAGGATCATTATAAGGATGGAAAAGAAATCTTAGCGGAGCGACGACGGGGCATTCTCTCTGGGGGCCAGCCAAGGTGGGGTCTTTCTGGAAAGATAGAAGTTCAGCACCGGATGAGTCTGTTGTGGTGGCCGCAGCGTCTTTGAATTAGGATTTCCAGGTCAGGCCCGGGCAAGAAGCATGGGTGGGGAATTTGTCTTTGGAATCCTGGCCCTCTGCTCGCCCCTCCACCTCCCCGGCGGCACCTGTGTCGGCTGGAGGTCCCGTGTGCCAGTCTCGGGGGATGCTGCACCACTCTTTGGGGGTGGTGCCCATCTCCCCCTTCAATCCCAAATTGCCCTTCTTGGGGGTGCTCCATTCTCTCGTGAGCTTGGGTTTGTTCCTCATCTCTGGAAACACTATTAAAGTGATGACGTTAATAGACGATACATTGTTTAATCGAGTTATGTCCTACCCTGGCATATGTAAGAGTATTGCGTCCAGCGGGGATGACATATTCTGGGAGTTAATTGAAATGTATATGCATTATATATTACCTTGGGATTCTCAAAATGTGGGCAATCAAGGAGAATCAGATTTTAGGCAAAATATACAATCTATGGCCATAGATTCCAAGCCACCCGCCAGGGAGATACCGAGATTCATAGACTTTTCCAGCAGAATCCTTCACAATCTCATGATGATAAGCAATGTTACCAAGCTGTGGCTCTGATAGCATCCTCTTTTCTGAATTAGTCCCTTCTTAAATGCATTTATACTCACCAGAAGTAGCTGCATTCATTTATCTTCTTGAGAACAGGGGAGTATACCCTAAGGGACTACAGTGGAGACAAAATGGCAGAGAGATTTTGGCTCATAGGGCTTTTCCAAATATCACCCAGTTACTTCTTGGAGAGCAGAAGTGTGGCTCTATCAGGAGCAGTTTGCCTGGTCTTTGGTGACCAGGAGCCTCCTTCCTAGGGAACCCAGTCCTGCAGGACTGGGGACCCTGCCCCAGTCCCTGTGGCCCTGGCTTATGACAGCCATTTCATCCCATTGAAAAACTGGAGGCCGGGCACGATGGCTCATGCCTGTAGTCTTAGCACTCTGGGAGGCTGAGGCAGGAGGATCGTTTGAGCTCAGGAGTTTGAGACCAGCCTGAGCAAGAGCGATACCCCGTCTCTACTAAAAAAATAGAAAGAAATTAGCTGGACAACTTAGAAATATATAGAAAAAGTTAGCCGGGCATGGTGGTACATGTCTGTCGTCTCAGCTACTTGGGAGGCTGAGGCAGGAGGATCACCTAAGCCCAGGAGTTTGAGGTTGCTGTGAGCTAGGCTGACGCTATGGCACTCTAGTCAGGGCAACATTGAGACTCTCTCTCAAAAAAAGAAAAACCGAGGCTGGACGCTGTGGCTCACGCCTATAATCCTAGCACTCTGGGAGGCCAAGGTGGGTGGATCACTCGAGGTCAGGAGTTCGAAACCAGCCTGAGCAAGACCCCGTCTCTACTAAAATTAGAAAGAAATTAATTGACCAACTAAAAATATATATACAAAACAAATTAGCCGGGCATGGTGGCACATGTCTGTAGCTCCAGCTACTCGGGAGGCTGAGGCAGGAGGATCGCTTGAACCCAGGAGTTTGAGGTTGCTGTGAGCTAGGCTGACACCATGGCACTCTAGCCTG